ACAGTGGAAATATACCTACAAATATAAAAAGATGTAAAAAAAACAACTAAAATTATATTTAAAATGTGATTTGTTTCACGATTCCTTGTGATCAATATCAGTGTTACCACAGTTGTAAGCCCTTATTCTTTATCTACCCTTGGTAGTAATTTGTGTGTGCATTGAAGTGAGATACTGTGGAATACTTTATTTTTGCTATTTTTGCTGCAAGAATGATTCAGTGAAAATAAAATCCACCGAATATAACTTTTTTCCTATAATTTACATTCAACTCATCAAAAATCAGTGAAAATAAATTCCATACAAAAACACCCAAAAAGTCTATTCAGCAAAAATTAATTTCAGCTAAAATAAAGTATTTTACAGTAATTCATGCTGTAACCATTCTAATTAGTAGGTAACTGGACTAAAATTAGTCACTGTACTTCCATGTAATCTTCCTTAACCATATGAATATGAATATGAATATGAATATGAATATGAATATGAAAGTCAAATATTGTCACCAATCACAGAATAAACATGCACAATTTTGATGGAAAATGCTTCACAATGAATAAAGATATTGTAATATGATCAATTTGTGACCATTGAACAGTGAACTCTGCATGTGATTCGATGATTTGATGACACCCTAAGAAGCTAAAAATTCAATCACAGCCGAACTACATAATTGCTCTGTGAATTTCGCCTTTCTAGTATTGAAACACCAAAGGTCAGATTGATTCAGAACATGAAGTAAAACAGAAAAAACAGTTGATGGTATACATTGTTTACCTTGATATGTTTTCGCCTAGTTGAGAATCCTCGTAACCAACCTGAAAACAAAAAAATAAATACTTCAGAGTAAGGGGAATTTCGTTTTTGTTTGAATACGTTATAAATATCCGCCATTTTGTCACCTTGTTCTTAGTTTAATTGTTATAAAACAACTAAGGAAATCTTCCAAGAATCCACTCGATAAAACACTAAGTATTCGTAGACAAATGTTCGACTTACAATGAACTCCTTGAAATGTGCAGTTGTTTTGTACAATTTTAGGTAACTATGAGCCATTGGTGGTGCGTGTCATGCATGAACTTCAAATGAATCTACAGAGTTACCAGCGTAATCGAACAATGTATCAGGTACACTTGAAAGGCATAAAATGTCCAGCTAATTTAATAGTGTCATGCTGCATTTGAAACCAGACAACTGAAACCCACAATCCTACAAACATATTTTCATGTCCTCACATTGTCATTGCATTGCGTGAAAATTTTATTGCACTGCGAGCATTCTATTATGTAAAATATTTTTTGGTCTGAATTTACAGCAACTGTGGAAAATATATAATAACTGCAGACGTTTGAATGTTGGTGATATTGCAGCCACAGTGATAATGTAACAGAGTACAAGTATAAACGCCCCAATGGTTTAAGTTAATGATTATACTGAATACCGGGTAATATATAGTTTATCAGTCACAAAAATGATGACATTATTTGCACTTTAAAGTAGAAGTCTACTCATAAATGAAATACCCAGAATTTATTCATTTTCCAATAAATTGTACTTCCAGGAAATTTAAGGATATTGACTCAAAAGAACGTTGGGGTCATCAGCGTAATCTTCGAGGGTTATATTTCAGTGGATAGTGGTCATTGTAGCATTATTATAACCATTTTTACTAGCGGTTTTTAAGGTGGGAATGTTATGATATAGATCAAATTGTAGAATAGCGATTCTTGAAAAATATCAGGACAAGTTTCTCAAATATTGTCACTGTAACAAACAGTAGAGAACTATTTCATGGTGCCACGAGCTTCATGATTTTATAAACATTGAACATTGTCATGTGATTCATGACCATGTTTCTCAAAAATTATCAAAGAGTGATGACATCACTTGTACTTAAAAACATAAAGAATGATGACATCACTTGCACTTATAAGCACAAAGAATGATGACACCACTTACACTTAAAAGCACAAAGAATGATGACACCACTTACACTTAAAAACGCAAAGAATGATGACATCACTTGTACTTAGAAGCACAAAGAATGATGACATCACTACTTCTACAACTTGTGGCAGGGTGCTAATCCAACTATTATTCACACTACCAAAAAAAACAGCTGAATTAATTAACCCTAATCTTGCCAGCTCAATGTACTTGTACATTGGCTTGATCACATAATGGTTAAGGCAGCAATATTTACAGATATAGATATACCAGGAATTTTCTATTTTG